ATATTGCTAGATCTTGAGCCATTTTCCTGGAACAGAACCCCCAGATAGTTAAAACTAGAAACCTGTTCTATAGAGGAGTTGTTTAGAGTCCAGTGATAATATTTTGGTGACCTTTTAGCAAAAACCATTACCTTGGTTTTAGCATAATTTATTTCTAATCTATTGTCATGGCAAGAATAAGCAACTAAAAAGTAAACAATTTGGACTGCGGGACGGAGTTTCAGCTTCAAACTCAGGTTTGTTTCTATGAGGACTGTGCGAGAATTACATTTGCTGGATAGTATCTACTCTCTAAAGGCAGATCCGTACATTGTCTAGTTGTGAGGTGCAGGAAACTGGAGAAAGTGGGGTTTCCCCCGGGGCCCGATTCCACGGCGGCGGAAATCGGGCCTAAATCCACCCCCCGGGGGGACTTGGCAGCCCTAACTGTGGGACAGAGTTTCAGCTTCAAGCTTAGGTTTGTTTCTATGAGGACTGTCCGAGAATTACATTTGCTGGATAGTATCTACTCTCTAAAGGCAGATCTGTTCATTGTCTAGTTGTGAGGTGCAGGAAACTGGAGATGAGAAGGAGAGTGGAATGAGAAGCCTAACTCTATCTATACCTGTTAATTTTCTCTAGCAAATACCCCCCCCCCAAAAAAAAAACACCAAGTCAGGCTTATTTTTGCTCTTGGAGCCCAGCAAAAATAAAATAATTTAAAAATAACAGTGCAAAGGGCATTTGTAGGGAGAATCGGCAGGCAGGAATGTAAGTTAAGCACCTACATCTTGTTCATTGATTCTCCAAACCTATGTCCTTCTGTCCCTGCAGGAGCCTTACAAAGCAAACATAAGATGGGAACACCAGGTGGTTCCTCTGACAGACTGGCATTTCCATTTGCATTAAGGGTGGTGCCGATTTCTGCTGACATCTGCCACCCTGCTGCAGTCCCCAGCTTTGTACCTTTTGTGGTTCCTGAGAGTCTGTTGACCCCCCCCCCCAAAAAAAAACTTTTGGGGGGCTCTGGGGTTGTACCAGGCAAT